GTGCCAATTTAGTCCTAAACCTTTTGCATTAGTGCCAATTTAGTCCTAAACCTTTTTTTGGTGCCAATTCAGTCATAAACCTTTTGCATTGGTGCCAATTCAGTCCTAAACCTTTTTTTGGTGCCAATTAAGTCATAAACCTTTTAAATTGGTGCCAATTCAGTCCTAAACCTTTTGTTTTTGTGCCAATTTAGTCATTTCGGTCAATTTTGAACGGAATTTGCCGACGTGGACGCCTGCCGGCCGGTCACCGGCGTCGACATGGCGCTGACGTGGACAACTTTTAATAATATTTTAATATTTTTTTGAAAATTTATTTTTTTTCCTTTTTTTTCTTTTTTTTCCACTTTTTTTTTTGGTCCCCCCCTCCTTCCTTTGGCCGGTCGCCGGTCCGGCGGCCTCGGCAGAGGCCAGCGAGCTCGACCTCGCCGGCCCTTGCGAGCGGCGGCCTCACCGGCGAGGGCGGCGGCCTCACCCGGCAAGGGCGAGCCTCGCCTTGGTCGGGCGAGGCTCGACCTTGCCGGATCCGGCGAGGTCGGGCCTCGCCGGCCATTGGCGAGGCTCGAGCCCTCGCCGGAGGCCACGGCGAGGCGAGCCTCGCCATGGTAGGGCGAGGCGACCTCGCCAGATCCGGCGAGATCGAGCCTCGCCCGACCATGGCAAGGCTCGCCCTCGCCGCGGCCTCCGGCGAGGGCTCGAGCCTCGCCTTGGTCGGGCGAGGCTCGACCTCGCCGGAGGCGCGGCGAGGCGAGCCTCGCCATGGTCGGGCGAGGCCCGACCTCGCCGGATCTGCGAGGTCGGCGGACGAGGCTCGACCTCATCGAGATCCGGCGAGGTCGGGCCTCGCCCGACCATGGCGAGGCTCGCCCTCGCCGCGGCCTCCGGCGAGGGCTCGAGCCTCGCCAGTGGCCGGTGAGGCCCGACCTCGCCGGATCTGGCGAGGTCGAGCCCCGCCCGACCAAGGCGAGGCTCGCCCTCGCCAGTGGCTGGCGAGGTCGAGCTCGCCGGCCTCTAGCCTCTGGCCAGTCGTCGGACCGGCGACCGACCAGAGGAAGGAGGGGGGACCAAAAAAAAAAGTGAAAAAAAAGGAAAAAAAAATAAAAATTCAAAAAAATATTAAAATATTATTAAAGTTGTCCACGTCGGCGCCAGTGACCGGCCGGCAGGGGTCCACGTCGGCAAATTCCGGTCAAAATTGATCGGAATGACTAAATTGGCACAAAAACAAAAGGTTTAGGACTGAATTGGCACCAATTTAAAAGGTTTAGGACTTAATTGGCACTAAAAAAAGGTTTAGGACTAAATTGGCACCAATGCAAAAGGTTTAGGACTGAATTGGCACAAAAAAAAGGTTTAGGACTAAATTGGCACTAATGCAAAAGGTTTAGGACTTTTTTGGCGCTTTTCCCCATGAATTTGTTATGTAAGGATGATAGAGATTCTATTGATACGGATAGAGTCTGATTGATGTGCATTCGCTAGGAATCGAACTTGCGAATTCGCCAATTATGAGTTGGGCTCTTATGTAGGAAAAGAGTGACCTTTCATTCTGAATGGAACCTCGTCTTCAAAAAATTTACCGCCAAAGCACCTCCTTAATTTTGTTTAATTTTTAGCCTATTGTTAAGTAGTCGTTCGCTTCCGAGGTTAATCATGAGCTATCATCATTCTACGACATTGTATGACTAGGTCACTAAAACATACACCGGGGTACGACGACGACATATCATTTACGATGGAAGCAATTGACAACTTAACAAGGGGACACAATTGAGAAACAGCTTTAAAAGGTAAGCTATTTTAAGGATAAGATTTAAAACATGTGTGACTGTATGCGAGCTAATTTGTCTCGCTGAATACCTTAAATAAAGAGTTACGAGATTTTAATGTTGGTTAAAGTGAAAAGCCGAAAACGTTGAAGACACGTGAACATGAATTGTCAATCCTAGGTCGAATCGATCCGAGGCTATTCTCATGCTTTGCTGGGTCCAGGAGGTCAGAAGTTTTTCGGCCCACGCTTTGCACAAATATGTTTGGTCGTAGTTTTAAATTACTAAGGAACACTGAATACATGGCATGTGATATAAAGAAGAACGTGAGATCTAGTCAATGATAATATTTTTTATTTTTGATAAATATATTATAATTTTAGGAGACTTACGATTGATATGTATTAAAAAAGGATATCATAATATCATGTTCCATAAGAATTTGGAGCCATGTTTTTAGCGTAGCTAATGTCAACCTAAAATAACATGCAACATAAAACAAACTATATAATAGTTAAATTCCGGTGCAGCTTTGTTCCCTCAGACCATGCGTATTGGTTCGAAATTTCTTGTCCAAGTTCTGCAAGGTTTTGACTTTCTCCTTCTCCTAAAGATTCAAACCCGATGCAATCTTCGACATTACATAGTAAGGGAGCATGTTAATCATCATCGGTTATGTTTAAATATCTTTGTTCGTTGGTTAAGATGCTTTCAAATTGTACTGGAAGTGATATATCTTGTTATGCAATAAAGTAAAGCAAACTGATGCACCGATACCACATTTATCTCGAACTAATATTTGTGTCACAAAAAAATCCTAAAGATGATCGTCGTGCTGGATTTACATAGATTCAAACCCGATGCAATCTTCGACATTACATAGTAAGGGAGCATGTTAATCATCATCGGTTATGTTTAAATATCTTTGTTCGTTGGTTAAGATGCTTTCAAATTGTACTGGAAGTGATATATCTTGTTATGCAATAAAGTAAAGCAAACTGATGCACCGATACCACATTTATCTCGAACTAATATTTGTGTCACAAAAAAATCCTAAAGATGATCGTCGTGCTGGATTTACATAGATCATCCTTTCCACCCAGTCGCATATGTCCTTCACGTCGAGCCCGACGTTTCACGCATGACTCACAAGCCGACTGTTCACACCACGACAACCACGCTCTTGAGCGTCGAGTTCCACCTGCTATAAATCGTGAACTCAGCAATAGCACCGTGGTGCACAACCTCCCCCCGCGTGCCCATCTCACAACACACACCTTCTCCGCTATCGCCTCTTTTAGCTCCTCCGGAAGGAGCTGCTCTCTTCGACGATGGAGTCTAGCCATATGACCCACAGGAAGTTCCTCTCACTGTTCATGAGGTCGTCTAAAAATTATGTGAGCTCGTGTCAATTGATAGACCTCATGCTCCCGAGGTGAACTTCACAGAGACGTGGTCCAGAGGATTTGAGGCCCCGTTTGGTTCAGCTTTTGGCCTAGCATTGGCCAAATGCTAGCATTTGGAATGCTAAAAGCCCAAAGCTGGTCCGAACCAATTTTGGGCTTTCGACATTCCACAAATGCTGAACTCAAATTTTTTTGTCCCCAAACTACCCTCACTTATTTTGGCTTATTCTGATTTTGCCCCCCCCCCCCCCCCCTCTTAGTACTATTCATCTTCTTCGTGAGGTGGCCGGTGGGGGAGGCCGGCGAGGGCAGCCGACACCGGATCGGGCCGGTGAGATCGCACGACCCAGGCGACGGCTGCCTGAGGTTGCGCGACTGCCCAGGCACCGCCAGCTTGGGTCGCGCGAGGCCATCTGCGGCCTGGGTCGCGCGACCTTCGCCGAGGGTCGCCTGGCCTCAGGTGACGGCCGCTGGCGGCAAATCTAGCTCACCAAGGGTCGCCCGTACTCAAGCGACAGCTGCCGGCGGCAGATCTAGCTCGCCGGCGGCCGTAGGCCTTCACCGGCTCCGACGAAGGGTAGGGTAGGTTTTTTTTTTAAATAAAAAAGATAATTCCCAAAGCCCTTTTGCAAAAAAAATTTACCAAACACTATTTGGCCCAAAGTAGCTTTACAAATAATTTTTTACCAAGCACCACTTGCATTTCCCCAATGGACTTTAATCTAAAGGTATTTGCATTCCCCCAAGTAGCATTTGGAAAGTTAAACCAAACGGGCTAGGAGTCTCCCGCACAGGAAGAGCCAAGTCAAAGATGGGATTTTCAAACATTTTTTCAATGATTCCAAATCTTATCTTATGGTGTACCAAACTATGATATGATATTTTTACAATTCAGAAATATGTTGAGGATTTCAAATTCCCCTTTATCCTATTTTATCCTATCTCAATCCAAACCTGAACGAACCAAACCCAGCCTAAATAGTGCTCTTATGAAAACAGGAAGATCCTTAATAAATTAGGAAAGGTTTTATGAAACGGTGCCCTCGAGCACTCCCATCATATCAAACGGATAAATATCCGGATCTCAAAATGTCGACGATGCATATCACCAGGTCTATCTTTGAATCAGAAATCATTATATTTAATTCATTTAATTTTTAACAAGTGTCCCAATACCTTTCTTTCCTTTTTTTTTTTAATCAACAAAAGCCAATTGCAGAAATCGTGATACTTTTCTCTTATTATTGCGACCTCACCAGAAAAACTTTGAACGAATATTTTATAATTCACTATTTATTTTCGGCCCAACTCCGCTGACGAAACTTCCCCACCGGAAAAACGACAATGCCTTTCCCGCTTGCTTAGCCCGAATGAATTCCGCCGCCCACGCCCGGCGCTAAAAGGGGAAACCGGCCGAACGCGGCGAGAACTTCACGGCGGCGCCCACGTGGGACAACGCCATTGGCCAATCAATTATTCTTTGCCATGGGCTCGACCGCGCCCGATCAGTACCCCACGTTCCTTCGCGGAGGGAAAACTTTTTCGTTGGCGCGTCAAAAACTTGCAACGCTCCTCCTTCCTCTAACTGCTGCACTTTCCTCCTCCCTTTCCACATCGTCCCAAAAGGCAACGGAATCGTCGTCGTTCGTCGTCATCAAAACTTCGCCCCGATCATCATCGATTCCGTTCAAACCCTAATCGCAGTTCTCTCTCTATCTCTAGGCCCCGCCATTGATTGCGATCTGTCGAAGAGCGGAAGCGAAGGAAGCTGCATGCCTTTTGTCCTGTCCTCTCCGTCTCTCCCTCCCTGTTCTTTCCGTCCTTCTTTCGTCAGAGCGCCGCGTGGTGGTGAGCCCGGTCGGTTCGACGAAAGCGAGAGAGAGAGTTCCTCCTGGTCGAGACGGAATATAAGGATCGATTCGGGCTTTCTCCAACAGTGCTTCGCCCGCTGGCTCGCTTTTGGAATCTATCCGGTGCTCGAATCTCTCTCTGTGTCGACCTCTCCGCCTTTTGCCTTTTCGCCTCGCTTTCAGGTAAACCGATGCGCGCATCTTCCTGCGTGACATTTAATGCGCCTGTTCACGCATTCGGTTGATCGAGCTGTTTCGTGTAGTTAAGATTCGGAGCGATTTGATATTTTTCCCCAGCTTGTGTTCGAGTTTTTTTTTTTCTTTTTTTTTTGGCGGTTGAAATGCGTCGCGAGATGAAAATGGAGTGTCGGGGCAGAGCTTCGTTTCCTTTGCCCTGTCGGCCGTGCGAATCGCCGCGGGGTTCGCGTTTTGCTGGGAGTGATGTTGGGAGCTGTGTTCGGAATTTCGTTCGGGAGAGGTTGTTTGGAGCTCCGACCGCGTCTTCACTTACGCTATCGGGAGCCCGGGCATAGTCGAAATTCATTTTCTGTCCGTGACAAGTTTGCCAGACGTTGCCGTTGTTTTGTCCTGAAAAAATTGATAATCTGACTCTTTCCAGAGTCGTCCAATAGGCTATGTGTATTGAATTATTGTCCCACATCGATTAACAACGGATCATAAATGCTGTTCAAATTCACGTGGTCCCCTTTCACCATCAGTTTAAGCTTTTAGGTTAGACATGCTAACACATTAAATTAATGCTTCAGAAGATAAGCCATTTTTTTTTCTAATGCGTGCTGCTAATATCATAATTCTCTTCATTTTGGGGATAAATGGTTTCAATGGAAGATAAGCCAACCCATTGAGCAAATTCCTGACTGGTGTTGATTTCCAGCACCATCCTCTTTGACTACTACTCTCTATTTCTTTCTGTCATCCTTTCCCCAGGGATGGAGAAGATACATGTCTCAGTTCGATTTTCTTTTAATGACAGAGTTCCATTTGATATCTTAGGTTAGTTAGTGGCTGTATATAATGTTTCTCACCAAAAGCTCTTTTGCAGCTTGGAGGTTGTCATGGATGATAAATCTGAGGAAGTCTTGAAGGATTTCCATATACCTGATTACATACTTGTACCTGGATCTAATGTCAAAACTACTTCCCATATACCCTCATGTCCAGTGATCGCGTTCATAAACTCTAAGAGTGGTGGTCAGCTAGGGGGAGAACTTCTCGTCACATACCGCTCTCTTCTTAATAAGAATCAGGTAATTTTCTTTCCGGCCTTTGCTAAAGTGTTCTAGAAAAGGCACTTGATTCTTTGAACAATATTCTTGACCCCTTATCGGTATTTTTTGTCTTACGTCGGTGTATCTGAATTATCAGGTTTTTGACCTGGGAGAGAATGCTCCTGATAAGGTGTTGCATCAGCTTTATGCTACTCTTGAAGTGCTGAAGAGTACAGGAGATGTTTTAGCTGGAGAAGTTCAGAAAAAATTAAGAATAATTGTAAGATCAGTTTTTAGATTTGAATTAGGCCAGAAATCTTCATTTTCTTCTTGTTACAGGCGGAAGCATGTAGCTTGTGCTACTCTGTGGTCTGCACATGCCCTTAGACAATTTTTGATCTTTTTTTCTTACCCGGTAAAATGATGTCATCAGGTTGCAGGTGGAGATGGCACAGCCAGCTGGCTTCTGGGGGTTATCTCTGATCTCAAACTACCCAACCCACCACCTGTTGCCACTGTACCTCTGGGAACGGGGAATAATCTTCCATTTTCATTTGGCTGGGTATGCCTTTAAGTCTTCACAGATAAAGCAATAAAAATAAGGAAGTCAAAACGGCTGTTTGTATTAGTCGTCGCGCCAATGATTAGTCTTGCCTTGTGGTGAAGGCTATGAATGGCTATTTGACTTAGTGTATGGAGGACATTCTTTTTTATCTTTGTCTTTCATGTTTAGATGCTCCGGAGAAAAGATTTGGCAAAAGGAAAGGAAACCAATTTATATGACATAAGAATAAGAAACTTTTCTATCTCACAGGGAAAGAAAAATCCTGGGACGGATAGGCACTCTGTCCAGTCGTTCTTGAATCAAGTGAAGACCGCAAAAGAAATGAAGATGGATAGGTAAGTACTCCCTCTATGAGATAATTGTGTTCATTAGGTCGTTCGCTATAGAGGCTTCCTTGCCATGGGGGACCTGGACTAAAAGTTTCGTCGAAATTGACTTTTAAAGGCTTGCTCAATTACTATTTAAACAGCTATTCTGAATGTCAGAATATACCCATGATGGAGTTTATGGCTAAGAGATAATGTTGTTTCTTTTTCAGCTGGCACATGATCATGAGAATGAGGATTCCAAAACAAGGTGCATGTGACCCTATTGCTCCTCCCGAACTACCACATTCCTTGCATGCATTTCATCGTGTCTCGAAGACAGATGAACTGAACATGGTAAGTTTATTTATATCTTGCACATTAGATCGAGCTTTTCTTTCTGTAACCTTCCTGGGATTTCCTCTACATAATTTATTTACTGAAATGTTTGGTGTAGTGTTATAGATGAGTCGGCACTCAAGTATTATTTGTGTGTTGTCCATGATAGGAGCTTTTTATCACGTACGGTGTATGTTTGAGCACAACAGTTCAGAGATTGTGCCATTGCTAGTAGAGTGATTATTGAATTTGACTTTGAACTCTGTAGTTGCATGCAAATTATCCCGTGCAACAGAAAAAACGTATATGAGATTGATCAGCCCTAGGGTGGGGTTGTAACAACAAATCCTCCTCTTATAATCACCATTCCTCCTCTTCTGTGGTTCAATATCCAGCGCACTTCTAATCACCATTTCTCCTTTCTTGGTTCTTTTTCTGTCTCCTCTTATGTGGTTCAATAACCAGGGCATTTCTTATCACCATTCTGCCATTCAGCTCCTTTTCTGTCTCCTCTTCTGTGTTTCAATGTCCATTGCATTTCTAATTACCGTTTCTCTTTTCTGAGCTCTTTTTCTCTCTGTGTCCATATGCATTTGTCAACTATTTTGTTAACGTTTTTACTATTGCATGTCTGTTTCTGTAAAATCGCAGGAGGGGTGCCACACATTTCGTGGGGGATTTTGGAATTACTTTAGCATGGGTAAGGAAATCCATTAGCTTGTTGACTAACAATATACTCTGAAACGTATGAAACAAAAACATAGACCTCATAAGTGTTTGGTGGAAGTCCAGTGAATCATGGTTTTGAGAATTTAAAAGTCAATGACCATCCCTGACTCGCTTTCCATTGCTTTTGCCCAGACATAGTTGACGTGTTTATGTGTCCAAAACTATCATTAGAATCACATAGTACACTAATTCAATGATCATATCTGATCTGCTTTTTCAATGCTCTTGTGCAGATAATGATAGATATGTTTGTATGTCCATAACCATCATAAAAAACACATGGAATACTAAATATTCACAGATGTAATTGGTTCAAATCTCATGAATCTGTTATTTAGAGATTTTAAGAGATGAATCGATAAATGCCATCACCTGACAAGTTTAGTCTTTGGATTCCTGCAACTGCATTGGACTAATTTAGCAATGCTCTTGTGCTGTACAGGAATGGATGCTCAAGTATCATATGCATTTCACTCAGAGAGGAAGTTACATCCTGAGAAGTTTAAGAACCAGCTTGTTAATCAGGTAATTTTCTATTTCTCATAACTTTTATGATCGTTGATAACAAACAGATTGCCGCACATGCAATGGTAACTGATTGGACTAGGACTCGATATTTTCATTTTAGTTATTTATCTGTGTGATAACTAGCCAGAGTTACAATTATGTGCACAATAGTCTTGTCAAGCCATGAGAGATATCACACTATGACCATCCCAGCCAAGTTATTCTATGGCTTTATAAGGAGAACAGTGGGCAAGGTTGATTAGTCATTGATAGACGGCAAGTGAGGTTGAGTTGTCTCACTGACTATGCATATAGAAGATTCTTTTAGTTGGGTTGTTCTGGCAACTCAGACCAGCACAAACATATTGATGATTGCTTTCCTTACTTGTTCTAAGACCAAATTAAACTCACTCTAAATGTTCTTAAGAAATTTTTCAGTTTGTATTTAGTATTCCTGAGTGATGTCTTGACTCTTCTTTCACTTTTGGCCTATAAGGTCATCATGCATATGTAAGACTTTGTCAGACTTTGCTTGTCTTGGGTTTCAGAGTACTTACTTGAAGCTTGGATGTACTCAAGGATGGTTTTGTCCTTCTCTTTGTCATCCTTCTTCGCGGTGAGTCTCTTGGAAATATACTTCACTCTGCTCACAGGTTCTAGATCTTCATGGAAAGAATGATATGCTTTTACAATCTACTTGCCTGCATGCCGTTATTTTCTGCTTTTCTTTTAGTCATCCCATATAAATGGACATCATTTTACTAAACTTATGTCAATGCAGGAATATGGCACAGTTGACAAAGGTGAAAATAATGAGAAAACACGGCCAGTGGGAGGACCTCAACGTACCTAGCAGGTTATTTACAAGTACCATATATAATTATCATAAAAAAATTTGTTTGTGTTGCTTGTAAGTGTTCTTTAATTTTAATGGTATTGCTGAATGCTACTTCATTTTTCTGATTTCTCGAATTGACTCGTGATGTCTACCGTACAGCATCAGGTCTATCGTGTGCCTCAACTTGCCTAGTTTTTCAGGCGGACTCAACCCTTGGGGAAATCCAAACACAAGAAAATCGACTTATGTAAGTTCAATGCCTACTTACTAAAATCTCTTGTTCATATACTATTTGCCTGTCTCCTGACCTTCTTTCACAAATATCTATTGAGCCCTCTTTTTATTGTATGAGCCTTACAGAGAGACTTGACTCCTCCATATGTCGATGATGGCCTTCTTGAGATTGTCGGTTTTAAAAATGCTTGGCATGGCCTTGTATTGCTCTCTTCAAAAGGGCACGGTACTCGTCTCGCACAGGTAGAATTACAATGAATCTTTCTCAAGTTGATTTTGCATGATCGCAGCATGAGTTTGTTATGCATAAATTGATCATAGTCATTTTGAAATGGCATTGGCATATAGATATTAAGACAATTTAAATTGGTGCCTGCACTCAAGTGTGCCTCATTACATCTCGCTTGTATTTGTCTGTGTGTTCTTGTACGTATATTCATACATTTGCTCTCTAAATTCCGATGTAGACAAGTAGAGTTCGCTTCGAGTTCCATAAGGGGGCAGCAGACCACACATTCATGAGAATGGATGGGGAACCTTGGAAACAACCCCTACCAGTCGACGACGACACTGTCGTTGTTGAGATCTCCCCATCCAGCCAAGTAACGATGCTAGCCACCCCTCTTTGCCAGTCCAAAAGTATATATGACCCCTCTTCCCCCACGGTATATCAGGACAATGATGACAACAGCAGTGAAGAAGAAGGCGGAGAAGACTGGGAAGAGCGAAGGAAGTTTGGTGCTGCGGAAACTTTCAAAATTCCAGATGGCATCGAAATCTCCCATCTCAGTTAAGCACGGAATTCGAGTTCTTTGGTGGGATCTCCATTTACATGTATTGATTCCCCTTGTCGATGATTTGACTGGTCCTAGGATTCTGTGTAGTTATGAAGGTTCACTTAGTAGGTATTCCCGAGTTAGAGATTCATCATAGATAAACCCTGCTAATTTGCTAACCTGTAGTTTCTCGAGTTAAGGCCATATCGTCGTGTACAGCTCATGGCTACTAATTAGATTCCAGCCCTGACTTGACCGATTAGTTCTCACTTGTTAACTTCATTGTTTCGAGTACATTAGTGTGTAGCTCCCGGGGTCAGATGCCCTTGCTTGAATTAATTCAGTTTGGTGTGTTCTTTCTGCCATCTTCAAACGCCAGTTCCTGAAGATCCTCACATGATTCCACTTGGAACAAGGGAAACGAAAATCTGGTTTATACTTTCAATTTCAGCCTATTTTATTGCAATTTGATGACCTAATTCTTACCGTTAAACCTCAGACGTCGTTTCACTTTTGGTAATTGCCGACTGGTTGTGTTCTTCTCTAGAGCTGACTGCATGCGGTTTTGCTATTTTGGAGTACAAATATAGTGGAATTCGAAATTCTTCATTGCTCATCAAACTATCTCGGACAGTTCTGGTACACTGATTTGTGTAAACGGTTCGAAAAATGGTTCCAACTTCTTTCATCATCGACGAGCATAAATCTGTAGAAAGTTCGGGCGGAGTTTAATTTACTCATTCAAAAGAAATAACTGTCTTACTTGTGTCTTAACTCATGAAGGCAGCCAAATTGAAATGTAGAGTAATGATAACACTCAAGCCGCATTCCGTGTGCTTACGAATCGCTGACAGAACGTTATCCAACTCCCGGGTCTCGGTATTGTCGCGACCTTCGCACCGCTCCAATTCAATTATTGAACCTGTACTAAGTTTCGGAGTCTAGGGATACAATTCAAGACCCCGAAACATTTAGCAGAAGTGAGCAAATCTGTTGGTTCTGTTTTCTAGTTTAGTTGCTACTTGGTATTAGTTGATGCACTCAATGCCGGAATTGCACGACGGCCGATCCAGAGTTGTCATATTACAGCTCGATTGATGGTTTTTGCTTGTGAGTGTTCGCCCTGTTTTTACTCAAACTAGGTGCTTTGGATACTTCCCTATTTTCTAGTCCTTCTTCCTGCCATAACTTTTTTAATAAACCCTCGAACTAATAATAAGTACACCGGGCGAACATAAATAAATCAAAGGAAAATTTCCAAACGAAGGCATAAAGTGTCCTCATTTTCTTAATGAAAGGCCTAAAGTTGATCTTGTTTCACCAAAAGGCCTAAAGTGATCTCATTTTCTCAAATAAAAGTTTACAGTGACTATGTCAATCTCAAAAAAGAGTTTGACCTCATCAGCTGGTCAAGAACATTTTTCATCATTTACTTTTTTATTTTCTTTTTCCTTTTTTCTTTCCATAAAAAAGAAAAAAAGGCTAAAATTTTATAAAAAAACACAAAAAAAAACCATGCAAGAGGGTTGGGACCAGCCCTCTCACCTGTGGCCGCCGCCCCATCGCCGGTGGAGCGTCGACCATGGCCGATGACCCAATCCCAGATTTAGGAGAGGGTCGCGGCCCTCTCCCCGACCCTCACCTCTGGTCAGTGAGGGTCGCCGACTCTTGCCGAGGCGCCGACATCTGACTGATGATGGGGTGTCGGCCACATGCGGGAGGGCTGGCCCAACCTGTTTTATTATTATTATTATTATTATTTTGATTTTTTTTTTTTAAATTTTAGCCTTTTTTTACTTTTTTATGGAAAGAAAAAAAGAGAAAAGAAAGGAAAAGAAAATTAAAAATTAAAAGACGAAAATGCCCTTAACTAGCTGGTGAGGTTAGGCCTTTCCTTGAGACTGACATGGCTCTTCAAGCCCTTAATTGAGACAAAGTCCACTTCGAGCTTTTATTTGAGAAAATATGAGCACTTCATATCCTTAATTAAAATAAAATTCATTTCGGGCTCTTATTTGAGAAAATGATAATACTTTATATCTTTATTTGAAATTTTTCCTAAATCAAAAGCGCACGGCTTTACGACTGCATAAGGATTTTTTTTTTTGTTACGGGAATCGTAGTCAACATAAACAAAGATTTCACTGAATAATCCAAACCGCCAAAATCAGAATGAAAACGACTGTTTGCTAGTCACTATAATTTGACAACAGAGTAAAGTTAAATATGCTAATGATGACATAAGGGGATTCTAAACCATCCCTGCACGTGGCTTCTAGAGAGGGACGGCACCCCTAGTATCCCACTTTGCCATTTCTTATTGACTCAAATACAATGAATATAATCTGAAGCACCCAGTATTAGTCTTCTTAACAAATCCACTGACACCTTTCTTGCTCCTAACTGTTGGTATGTCTGCTGCGTATTATTTTCAACCTCCTCCATTTCATGAGCAGAGCCATCTCGCTCATATATACATGCCCAACATATTCCCCACGTCTTCTCACCATAAAACTTACCAAGTACAAAGTACATTCTCCGTGGTTTATGCCAACACCGACCGATATACTTCTGAGAATGAATGCGGTGACCAGGGTTTGGATCGTTGCAGCATGCATCGGAGCGGTGGAGTCGTTGAAAGATCAAGGGTTTTGTAGATGGAACTACCCGTGGAGGTCACTCGAACAGGATGCCAAGAACAACACTAGATGGTTCTATGAGGCCAGGAAGATCTCTTCCTCTTCCTGTTCTCCGTCTGTCGCTGCGGCAGTAGAAGCATCGAATGCTGACAGAACGAGGCGAACGGAGGAGTCGCTGACAAAAGTCATGTACTTGAGCTGTTGGGGTCCAAATACAGTTAGATTTTGAGATCAGTGAATGGGCACCAGTCAGTTTCTAGGATGTGCTTATGATATGTCACTGCTGATAGGTTTTTTTTTTTTTCTAGGATGTGCTTATGATATGTCTCTGCTGATAGTTATTTAAGTGCGAAACTTCGCGAGCTTTCTGTCGCAAATGAAGGAATGTTTGTTCACGCAGTACCCACTACAGCTTGTAGTCTACGGGAACATTTTCCTCAATGGCCCAAGCATATTTTTGTACCTTACGAAAAAATGAACGTTTCGACTCAAAAAAAAAAATCATGAACGAGTCCTGACATAATAGTGGTCATGGTGCCGTGTTGATGACTTTCTTGGGGATGCATTTAAATCAGGATAAGTAAAAGGAAATGGAGTGACTCGTATGTGCAGCTCTTCGTCAGGGAGATACTAAATGTATAACTGACTCCAAGTCTTGCATTGTCGCCATTAACTATGGCTGACTTGCCAATTATTCATGTCTAACTAAATGAAACAATGATTTACTCGAATCTGTCAAAGCCGGATATCATTTCAGAATGATCCATCGAGAAGCTGAATTACGGATTAATGTGCCAATTGAGTAAAATGAACATTGGCTTGTTTCCAGATTGTGTTCCTAATTGCTGATTCTCCTGGTCTTACACAGATTTTGATCCTGGAAAATTCTATTAACGCCAAGGCCCCAACTCCTTGGTCGCCACTGGTTGCTTGTTGCATAAAGTAGAACTGCAAGAGGAGTCGGAAAACAGTAGTGCTGCTAACAGTGTGCACGAACTGGCTTTTGTTCTTTAACAGTGGAACAACATATTATCAACTAAATGAAATAACGAATTTATTCGAATCTGTCAAAGGCCGGATATCATTTTAGGATGATCCATCGAGAAGTTGAATTGGGGATTAATGTGCCAATTGAGTAAAATGAGCATTGGCTTGTTTCCAGATTTTGTTCCTAATTGCTAATTCTCCTGGTCTTGCACAGATTTTGATCCTAGAAATTTCTATTAACGCCGAGGCCCAACTCCTTGGTTGCTACTGGTTGCTTGTTGCATAATGTAGAACTGCAAGAGGAGTAGGAAAACAGTAGTGCCGCTAAACAACGTGCATGAGCTGACTTTTGTTCTTAAGCAGTAGAACAACATATTGTACGCACATTGATTTCAGTGGATCCCTCATTTATTGTTTAAGTTTGTTCGATTTTTCTGCAAAATGACAATCTGCAAAACCTGTTGCATGTTTTAATGGATTTAATCCAATAGCCACCCCTGTTTATATATCAGCAAGATCCGCATCGACCATAGTTTTAGATCCGGAGATTGAGAAATGTCAAATGACCCTTCTAGACGTCGACTCTAAGATGAGAGGACCAAGAAATGAATAAGACGGTAGACAGCCGAATCTCATCATAGTCATGAACTTATGACCTTCACATCAACAGAATCACTAGCAAAAATGTGAATCAATAGGATTGGAGTATATAAAGCATATCTTAAATGACAAGCAGTACTGATACAGTGACCCTAGTACATGGATGGAGAGGTCCTTCTCATGTGTGTGACCACTCCCTTGACTTTTGTGCGCTTGTATCCATGCCATAACCATTTGTCCTCTCTGTCTTTTTCAAAAAGGAGTCATCGATTCATAGACACATCAAGTCATACCAGCATAGAAAAATGTCCCTTCTTTTTAGCAGATAATGGTATAGGATTGGATCGGACTCCTCCCCATACCGAATACCAGGGGCTGCCCTCAACCGTTGGTGAAACAGCCTCTGGTTTTGCGCACATTACCATTTCCACTGAGAAACACATAATCCCCACGCTGTTCTTATAAAAATCCAGAAGCCCCGTTGCTTCACCAGCACCGTCCAAACTCACAGACCCGGAACTCAAAATTCGATCTTTTTCTCCATCCAAGTCAGTCCCAGTACTTGTGACTCACATACCCAGAATTCAAAATCCAATCTTTTTCTCCGTCCAAGTCGATCCTACTCCTAGTACTTGTAACTTGCAGACCCAGAATTCAAGATCCAGTCCTTTTGTCCATCCAAGTCAATCCCAGTACTTTGCCCAGAGCAAACAAGTCAAGTCACCATGAGTTCAACCTGCAGATCATGGATTGCTGCGGCGACCGTTGGGACAGTGGAAGCACTGAAAGACCAGGGATTTTGCAGGTGGAACCCCGCGCTCAGATCGCTCCACCAGCACGCCAGGAGCAACGCCGGGTCTTGTTCTCAGGCCAAGAGAGCGTCCTCGTCCTCAGCTGCTTCTGCTATCCCTGAGAAAATCAGAGAAGGGAAAGCGAAGCAGTGTGAAGAGTCCTTGAGGAAAGTCATGTACTTGAGCTGTTGGGGACCTTATTGATTTTGCTAGAGTCCGTTGTAATTATGACCGCCGAAATGAAATTGAGCAGTTTATGCATATTGTTCACTCGATTCTTTTTTTCATCGTAGGCATTTTCTATGCGTGTGAGATTAATTGTCGAGTAATCGTAGCATACATTGACCGTGTAAATTTTTTTATGTGCACAATTTTTACCATCGTCATTTCGAGGGGTTTAATGATTAAATCTCTCACGAACTCTCAAGTCGGGTGAGCAAACTTACATTGATGATTTATGCTCTAATTTTTCTTTATTGTCATGGACACGAGTTCGTAACACGAAATAATTGTGAAAGTAGAGATAGATTGAATTCGATATTTTTGGTTTTGGGTTTCTCTAATTCCAGATAAATAAATCAAAAAAAATGAAGGGCAGCAGATGGGAAAGTTCTGATACCGATCAAAAAAGAAAGAAGCTCTGATACAAAAAAAGGATAAATTCCAAGTCGAAATCCTTCATCTTATGAGGAAGTTTGTTTCACATGGTCCTGATTTTAATCTTAGCTTTAATCAAATGAAAAGAAAATTCGGACTATTTCTATGTTTGGAAAGCTAGAGAAAGGGGAAGAATGAAAATTAGGTTGGAGAATAGGAGAGATTTTGAAATGTTTGCTCTCGAGAGATAGAGAGATTTAAAATCTTTTCCTCGAATTTTCTTTTCCCACTCTTTCTCTAACTTCAAACTGTTTACATCTAAAAATGACCAATTTTTTGTTATTATCGACAAATGATAGACTTGATCAATGAGAGCAGAGTTTGATCATTTATGAACAGAATTATCGATATCTTGAAGGGAATCGGCAACTTACCATTGAAGTTATCTACAACACAATGTGAAATTATCGACGATAGCCTTGAAGTTTCTTGACAAAGTCATCCATATCGATGGCGAGTAATCGGCATGAAGATAACCATTGGTTAGTTATGTTATATCTGTTCGTAAAGTGACCACCGAAACGGAGTTATTTTTTTCTTTCAAATTAAGTAACCTACCATGTATAACCACTGTTGTAAGGGTTATAAATACCTCAAGTGAACTCTTTGTAAAGCCTTCAATCAATCAAAGAACTTAACATTCTTGCAAATTTATCTTTATCTTTACTTTTCCACAATTTAAATTCCTGTACTAAGTCATAGTTTCGGATACTTCGTTATCAATTAAATTTCGGTGTGTATCTTAGTTGTAATTTTTAGATTATTGTCACCGATTAAATTCCGATGTTGTATCTTTATTATCGTACTTTGCTGTCAATTAATTCTCGGCAAAGTGTTTTGGACTTCGTGATCGATTAAATTCTGACAAAGCATATCTGTTGTTCCTTGTAATTCATTGAGACTCCTATTCGAAATCGTCACAGAACCTGTCGTCTCTTAATAAAATCAAAAAACCAATTTTGGTGAGGATATTTCATCGACGAACCATTTTCGGCGAAACACAAACATAGGGTGAGAATTAAGAGTTCAGACATATCGGCCTAATGGGCGGTGAGCCAAGCAAATTGGCCATTGTGAGCTAAATATGTCTTCTTCTTAGGGATGAGCATGGTCCGGGTGGGCGATTCCCACCCCGGAACCGTGGACCGCCCGCTAAGGACCGGTTCCAAAAAATTAGAATCGAGAACCGCCCGTCGGTTCCATAGACCCACCCGAGAACCGGACCGCCGGTCCGGTCCGGTTCCCGGGTGGGTCCATGGAACCGGTCCCACTAAGTTTTCCTAGACAAATCAAAAAATGGACTGGTCTAATTATTGTCCGTTGGTGGGTTGTGTTCACCACATGCTACTTTACTTCACATCAAATACATCCGTAGGGGAGTTTGCCACAAGTTCACAATAATCAGCAAGCAAGCAAACAAAACAACAACTCTCCTATTTTCTTTTGTATTTTTATTTTTTTGGTCAGATTTTTTAAATTAAAAATCAAAAAATATATATATTATTATTATATTACCGGCTTGGTCGCCGTGGACATGTAATTTCAAGGTTTCTACCGGGCACTAGTTTCAGCCGGAGAGTCGGCGCCTGCACCAAGCCATCGATGAGTTTTCTAGAGAAGTCACGACAGACACGTGCGATAGCGTCCTCACGGAGAGACAAATCCGGCGGCTCGAGTTTGAGGGGGATTGGTAAGTTTTAGGGTGGATGTTGGATACCACCGCGAGGGGATGGACATGAGCACTTAATCCGGCGGCGGCGGCGGGTCGGGATCAGAAGAAGTGCAAGTTCGAGGCCGCGTTCAAGTCGATTCAGGGTGCGGGGCCCCCCGCCGCCGCGGCGGGATCAGGCGGCGCGGCGGCTCAGGGGAAGGGCAAGAGGGAGGCGAGCGCGGCGGACGCGGAGGAGGAGAGGAGGAAGAGGGAGAGGGTGGAGTTTCTGCTGCAGATGGTCTGCTGGGGACCTGATTAGAGAATTGCATGTAGCCAGCACTTTACACTTGTCAATCAATGGTGATCGTAATCTGTACAGTGATTGTATCGACAATGTATACGAAATTACTAATCAATGTCTTTCTCTATTTCAATGCGTATATTTGATTTTAATCGTTGTGTACAAATTGAAGAGAGTGGGATTCACAAGGCCCGGTTGAGATGGGCCGGGCTATAAGCCCACGAATGAGAGATGGGCCCGCGAGCAATTGCCCAAAGCCCAAGTTGACCAGCACACTCCCCCCCTCGCTGACCATTGGGTAGACATCTACGTCGGAAGTTTTAAAACTCGTCACGAATATCGAACCCTTCTATTAACTCCGTCCAACAAGATGCTGACTTGGCTTTTTAAATATATTTCCTCTTTCCTATGCGGCGATGATATGGCTAGAACATACTAAAACGGTCCAAATCTGATTCTTTGTACAAATTTTATTTAATATAAGCTAAATTAATTATAAAAAAAAAAAGAGAGAAATTGGTTGTGAACGTGGCGGCGAGGGTTAGACATGGCCACGGTTCAGGAACCGGCGGTTTCGGTTCGTGGCCATGTATGAACCAGAACCGGAACCATAGGGGGCGGTTCCGGTTCGTAATTTAAAAATTAATAAAATAAATTATAAAATAAAAATTGCAGGCCTGGTCCTCCGTCGGTTGTCGCTCGGGCTTTGCGGCCTTGGCCACGGTGGCGGAGGCGGGGTTCAAGGCAGCGAGGAGATGAAGCGGGAGACGGGGACGAGGGCGGTGGCGAGGGGGAGAAGGAGGGGGCCGGAAGGGGGAGGGGGACGGGGACAGGGAGGAGGAGCAGGGGGTCCTCCTCCTTCGGGGGCTGGGCGGGGTCGTGAGGAGGGGAGGAGGAGGGGGCGTCGGCGTCGGCGTCAGCAGCTGCGGCCATGGGTGGCGGCGGCGGAGGTCAGATCTGGAGAGACGGGGGGTGGGCGGAGGAGAAAAGGGAAGGAGGCGCAAGGTAGCAAGGGGGGAGGAGGAGGGGGCATCGGCGTCGGCGGCTGCGGCCATAGGCGGGGGCGACGGCGGCGGCGACGGCGGGGGTCAGATCTAGGAAGACAGGGGGCGGGCGGAGGAGAAAAGGGGAAGACCGGAGGAGGCGCAAGGGAGAGGGGGGAATGACGGATTTGGAGGAGGAGGATTGGAGGTGGGGGTGGGGTTGCTGTGCAGCAGCAGGTTTTTTTTTTTTTTTGGGAACCGGGCCCGTAGGCCACGGGCCGGTTCCGGTTCCGAACCGCGAGCCCGGTCAACGGGCCTGTCCCGGGTTTGACCCGGGCCGGTTCCCGGCCAAAACCGGCCTGTGGCCATGACTAGTGAGGGTCATCCCATCTTTTTAAAAGATGTAGCTTATCTTTAAATTTTAATTAAATAAAATTTGTATGAGAAATCATATTTGAACCAAAACAACGTCGTTTTAGTCATGAAATCTCCACGTAGGAGGAGAAAAATAATTAAAAAAAAAAGCCACATCGGCATATTCCGTCGATCAAGTTGGATAAAGTAAACGGAATGATTTGATTGCACCTTTTATAAATTCTAAGATTCGATTATACTTTCGTGATAAATTTCAAGATTTCGAGTGCACTAATCTTGTTAAGAAAATTGTTCTCGGCCAGCGTGGGGCATGGGACTTTGTCAAACGAAGGCAATCTGAAACGTGGCGCGCGCGGGAAGGTGGAATCGATCTTAAATTAAAAAGTGCCCTTCGCCCATCATCCCCAGCGAACCCCTCCCCAACAAACTTAGCCGACACCCAATTGAATGCTCCCTCCCCCCACAGGGCCCACGTCCCCCTTCAATCCCCCAACCTAATCTCCGCACGCCCATTCAATTGCCGGCTCCCGACATCGACCTCAAATATCTCGAAAACCCGAATTCCCGATTCATACGCGGGGAACGGTGTCGGGCGTAAGCGGGCTCTTTTTCAATTGGGTGTTATCCTCGGCTGAATAAGACGTGAATTGTTTGGTATCATCCGCACTAAAAAATTGAAAGGTTTAGGAAGAGCTGATTAGATTGATCCCGTCCTTGGATGACTCGCACCGATGAATCGGTTAGCAAAATGAGCATGCGGACCGGGATCAGTGTTCCGCTAATCAAACGTTCCTAGATATGTCTATGGTATTCGTTAAATCCATTTCGATAATAGTCATGAGCGCTAAATCTCCTTCCTTGACCTGATGGGAAATATTTTTTTTTTATATTATTAGACCTTTGCAAATTAAGGAAAAATAGGGAAATTATTGATGTAAAATGAGCTCCCATCCTTTTAACTCGGCTTCGTCCCCCAAAAAATAAGGGGTCATGCACGACTTGAACTAAGGAATTCACAATGAATTATTTTTTGCGACATGACTAAAATATCTATGCTCAATGGACTTATCGAGGGCATGAAGCGCCATTTACCATTTATACGGACTGAACTATTTTACCTTTCAGCTCGCCCGGTAGTATATCCATCAAAGTCTCTCTTTAATTTCTTCCTCAGGATATGTTTATGCATTGAAAATAAGTCCATTTTCGGAGCTAGTTAATCATAGGGTTATGATTCAAGTTATGTTTCGAATGTCCATCATCCCAAAAAATTACCAACTCACGCCTATCATTAATGGAAAAGGAC